TTCCTGTCGTTCTATAGCATCCTTGTATCATGGAGATGAAGTTTTGGACGCCGAACACAGCGCATGCATGCGAATTCCAACCTTGATTTTTCGAGGTGGTCAAATAGACGCCCAGATGCACAACGTGTTTTCGCGTAGTTCAAAAACTCGACCGACTCCGACGCGGGCAGCCACAGTTGGCTATATATATGGAGTGGCCCAGCGACTTGAGTTCGGGACGTGGTAGGCGCTTGGGCTCTCACAGCAAAGTCGTACTGCCGAGCGTCGTTTTTCGCCGACTTGTACATATAAATTCGAGTAAAAATGTTGAATTTTCGCAAACTCTGAGAGCGCTATCTCTCTTTTATGGTATCGGAGAGTATGTTACATTGACGATGGTGGTTCTAGAGCCCGCTACGGCGCCGCTTGCATTTTAATATACTATTTGTATCCATACACTATACCGGGAAATATTGGCTTCAAATAGTATGTTCAATATATTGTCAAGAACTCTCGCTGTAGAGCTTGAACAGTGACGATATATAGCGTTTCGTACTCTCCAAAGTGCATTCTATCACCATGTCAAGTAAGAGCGCTTTGTTTTCAATCATGAGTCGTTATCAAGGGGCCCGTGCGTCTACTAGATGCGGGGCGCATGCAAACGGCTCGCATAGCCAGCAACGGCGAAAGCGGAGTACTTACCGTGTGTGCTCAATCTGGCACGTCGATTGCACTTTTATTTCCGTTCAACGCACATTTATTTCCGGTCACCGCACAATATTTTGCTGGCTACCGAACTATTTCTTACGTCGCTCGCACACTCCACCGCGCAATAAACGTAACGTTGTATAACATCTCGGACCACATTGCTGCGAGCGACGACAGAGCATCGGCCCAGAAAAGCCTGCGCACCGCAGCGTAGCGGAGGTGGTATGTTGGCTTTTATGCAGGCCGTGCCTTGGCGAGGAGCGAGCCCCGGTCTTTCACGTAAGAAGAATTCATTATCGATGGGTCGCCCAGGTGGAGGCGGGTAGGCCCGCAGGGCCGCGCCGACCCTGGTGCGAAAAGAACCCAGAATGGTTATAATTTGTCGTTAGAAATTGTGCAGTTCAATGTTCGGACGAAGTTCGGTCGCTGTAAAATATAGCGCGGTGAACGGAAATGGATGTGCGTCAAGCGGAAATAAATGTGCAATCGACTTGCCAGATTGCGCACTTCCGTCGGTACTCGGCGAAAGCGGCGCGACTAACTCTACCGCTGCCGCAAGTGCGAACTCGTGGGCCACAAAGGCGGCAATTCGACGCACCGCAGCATCCATCCCGACCGAGCGCAGCCACATTGGGACAGTTCTTCCCGTCGAGGGCCCGCTGTTGCAATTGCTCCTTGACGACGACTAGTTCTCGAGCGACAGCGATGACTACATTAAAAGTGACCAAGACTACCGGTAGGTGATGTTGGGCAGCCTCAATACTTTTTACATAATAAGATAATCAATCAAAAATGGATTTACTTCTGAGCTGGAACATGTGCGATCCGCCCAAACCCGACAGGGTTGCGAGGGTGGCTTGCGTCGGCCTTTCTGGCAGTGGACTGGGCTCCGCGCGCCGCCGAGCGCGATGCCTTCGTCTGTGTACTTCTTGATGCTGGCGACTGGCGGGGTCTCGTCGGGCGCAACGAGGTCGATGGCGGCGGCGTCGGCTCTCGATCAGGAATGGATGTTTTTGTTGGTTCATCTTTTTGGCCAATCATAAGACTTGGTTCACGACCTCAACTTAAATAGTGTGAGCACTATTCAGCACAACGACGAGTAGCAGTCCACAGACGCGCCAGCGCCACACAGCAGCCGTGTATACATCTCCACACACCATTTGAATGACGTACACGTCGTTTCCGACTCCGCACGTAGCGCAATCATGCGCAAATCCATTTTCCATTTTTCGAGGTGGTTGCAGAATTGTCCGAATACTTCACGTGACATCGCAGGGTTCCAAAGCTCCAATGGCCGTAAGACTGGCTGCCACAGTTGGCGATGGGTCTCGATCCGGTGTGCGACCAGCTATTTAGTCACCATAGTCGCTTGGGCACTCACACCAAACTCGAACTGCCGAGCGTCGGTTTTCACGAAATACGACATGCAATTTCGGTTGAAAATGCGTCGAAG